GTCTTGCCTACGCCTAGCAAACAGTTTTTTAAATTATATGAGAAACAAATATTCAATTTTATTTGGAACGGCAAGCCAGACAAAATTAAAAGAGCATATTTATATAATGAATATGAATTCGGAGGACAGAAATTATTAAATATTAAAGCATTAGACCTATCACTAAAATCTTCAGTCATCCAAAAGTTATACTTAAATCCGAACTGGTTCTCAAGCAAATTAGTAAGATTGTCTCACCCACTGTTCAAGAAAGGCCTTTTTCCCTTTATTCAGATTACAACCTCTCACTTTCAGTTATTTGAAAAGGAAATAATCTCCCAAATGTCACTATTTCTAAAACAAGCCATAGAAAGTTGGTTGCAATTTCAATTTAATCCTCCAGAAACGACAGAACAAATAATGCAACAAATATTGTGGTTAAATTCAAATATACTAATTGACAAAAAACCTTTATTTTTTGACAGAATGTTTAAAAAAGGTATAATCTTCGTAAATGATATCATCGGTAGGACTGGTGGAGTTATGTCGCACATGCAGCTAACAAAAACATATGGAAATGTCTGCTCTACCCAAAATTACAACCAAATAATTGCAGCCTTACCGCAAAAGTGGAAGAGGAAAGTTGAAGGGGGAGAAAGTAAGGAACTTGTCTGTCGGCCTTGCATTAAAGAACATCATTGGTTAAGGAAAACTGTGATAAATAAAAAAGTATATCAGTTTCACTTAAGGACCAAAGGATTGACAGCAGTCCCATATAGATTGCAAAATAGTTGGGAAGAGATCTTTGACGTACCGATCCCATGGCATAGTGTTTATGAACTGACACGCAAAACGACACCGGATTCAAAAATTAGAATCTTTCAATTTAAATTATTATATAAAATTCTTGCTACCAATAGAATGTTATTTATATGGGGGATACAATCTTCCCAGCTCTGCAGATTTTGCTGTGAAGAGATAGAATCATTAGATCATTTGTTTTGGTTCTGTCCATTTGTAGCTTGTTTTTGGACACAGGTCCAGGAATGGCTAAAGGATTGCAATATTTACCTGGAACTAACCTTGCAGATAGCATTACTGGGTGATCTGAAAAGTCATAGTCAATCAATCAATAATATAATAATACTTTTAGCAAAAATGTTTATTTTTAATTCACAATCTGTAGAAGCAATGAGAATAGAAAGGTTCAGAACTTTTGTAAAACATCACAGTATGGTTGAAATATATATGGCAAATAGAAATCCTATATGGATGGTGTTAAGAGATAGATGGGAGGTATTGAATAGAGTTGAAGGATGGGACTAATAACAAATAACAACAAATAATAACAAAGATAGCTAATAATGTAAGCATACTGTGTCCATAATAAGTATATAGGTTGTATGTTGGGAGCTTTTGGGAAAGAGCACAGTTAGAAAGATATGGCATTTAGAAGCAAACCGGATGGACATCATGAAAATGATCGGAGAGGTTGAGAGTAGAAGAAGTTCAGGAGCAAAAAAATAAATAAATATATATATATATATATATATATATATATATATATATATATATATATAGATATAGATATATAGATATAGATATAGAATTATTGTAAAATTAACTCTGTCCATAAGGTGTAGATAGTAAGTATAGACCGGAAGTAGAGGCCTGGGCGTTGTTGTTCACTAATTTACTCCAAGTAGGGAAAGGATGGTGGGGTTGAAAAGTAATAAAGGGGAATATATATATAAAAAATAAAAAAAACATGGGGGATTGGAAGTGATGCAGACAATTACATTGATAGAAGATACAATCTATCTGCAATATTAAGCTGATCCATCCCCCCGAGAAAAAAAAAAAAAAAAAAAGGTTATCTTAGTGTCCTTGGGCACGGGGACTATGGTGGTCTGCTTGAAACATATTGGTATTACAGACTCAGTCAGGGACATGTTGAAAATGTCAGTGAAGACACTTGCCAGTTGGTCAGCACATGCTCGGAGTACACGTCCTGGTAATCCTTCTGGCCCTGCGGCCTTGTGAATGATGACCTGCTTAAAAGTCTTACTCACATCGGCTACGGAGAGCATGATCACATAGTCATCCGGAACAGCTGGTGCTCTCATGCATGCTTCAGTGTTGCTTGCCCGAAGCGAGCATAGATGTGGTTTAGCTCGTCTGGTAGGCTTGTGTCACTGGGCAGCTCGCGGCTGTGCTTCCATTTGTAGTCTGTAATAGTTTTCAAGCCCTGCCACATCCGACGAGCGTCAAAGCCGGTGTAGTACGATTCAATCTTAGTCCTGTATTGACTCTTTGCCTGTTTGATGGTTCGTCGGAGGGCATAGCGGGATTTCTTATAAGCGTTTGGGTTAGAGTCCCGCTCCTTGAAAGCGGCAGCTCTACCCTTTAGCTCAGTGCGGATGTTGCCTGTAATCCATGGCTTCTGGTTGGGGTATGTACGTACGGTCACTGTGGGGACGACGTCATTGATGCACTTATTGATGAAGCCAGTGACTGATGTGGTGTACTCCTCAATGCTATCTGAAGAATCCCGGAACATGTTCCAGTCTGTGCTAGCAAAACAGTCCTGTAGCTTAGCATCTGCGTCATCTGACCACCTTTTTATTAACCGAGTCACTGGTGCTTCCTGCTTTAGTTTTTGCTTATAAGCAGGAATCCGGAGGATAGAGTTATGGTCAGATTTGCCAAATGGAGGGCGAGGGAGAGTTTTGTATGCGTCTGTGTGTGGAGTAAAGGTGGTCTAGAGTTTTTTTTCCTCTGGTTGCACATTTAACATGCTGGTAGAAATTAGGTAGAACGGATTTAAGTTTCCCTGCATTAAAGTCCCCGGCCACTAGGAGCGCTGCCTCTGGATGAGCGTTTTCCTGTTTACTTATGGCCTTATACAGCTCATTGAGTGCAATCTTAATGCCAGCATTGGTTTGTGGTGGTAAATAAACAGCTATGAAAAATATAGATGAAAACTCTCTTGGTAAATAGTGTGGTCTACAGCTTATCATAAAATACTCTACCTCAGGCGAGTAAAACCTTGAGACTTCCTTAGTATTTGATTTTGTTCACCAGCTGTTTTTTACAAATATACACAGACCGCCACCCCTTGTCTTACCGGAGTCAGCCGTTCTATCCTGCCGATGTAGTGTATATCCCGTCAGCTGTATGTTGTCCATGTCGTCGTTCAGCCACGACTCGGTGAAACATAAGATATTACAGTTTTTAATGTCCCGTTGGTAGGATAACCGTAATCTTAGGTCATCTAATTTATTTTCAAATGATTGAACATTGGCTAATAGGATTGATGGAAGAGGCAGTTTACTCGCTCGCCGTCGGATCCTTACAAGGCACCCCGACCTACGTCCACGATATCTCCGTCTCTTTGTCCTGCGAATGACTGGGATTTGGGCCTTGTCGGGTGTCTGTAGGATATCCTTTGCGTCCGACTCGTTGAAGAAAAAATCTTCGTCCAATACGAGGTGAGTAATCGCTGTCCTGATATCCAGAAGCTCTTTTTGGTTATAAGAGACGATGGCAGAAACATTATGTATAGAATAAATTACAAATAACGCGAAAAAACACACATAATAGTACAATTGGTTAGAGGGCTGTAAAACGGCAGCCATCCTCTCCGGCGCCATTCTTCAGTATACTTCTCAATTTCAAACGTGTGGACTAACGTCTAACGTTTTCTGGTCTTTCTAGTCTAACCATTTTGTAACGTGTAGCTTCAGCTTCACGCTTCTTGGTCTTGTAGAGTGTCAACCATTTTAAGCCGTGGGGCTTACTGGTCTGGTAGAAATTTGCAACTTTTAGCTCACGCTTCACGTCTGCTGGTCTTCCTTTGGTTGATTTGTTTTTCAAGGCTTTTTATGCACATCGGGGTAAAAGGGGCGTTCCATCATGTTTACACGATCTCTGATGTCACTCGGGGCGTGGCTAGTCACTGTGCATAGTTTATATGAAAAACTATTATCTCATTAGAAGACTAAAATCACATTCCTATCTTCACCTAAATACTCTCATACTTAATCATATATTTTATACAACATTTAGATGTAAACTTGATAGATAGAATATGTACACTTTCCGAGTTACAGTTATTACTTGATACCATCCTTAATGACATCACAAAATAATAAACAATATGACATGATTATTCTTTAGATTCCCACTGACCGTTTCCCACATTCTTTTAAGGAGGAATATTGTTTCATTATCCACTTTTGGATGTTGGAGTCTTGGCGGGAAGACTTCATTTGTCTCACAGGGAATAATTATTTCTTCCCATACTAGAGACCAAAAGGAGTCCTTTTCTGCAAACTATTTATGACCGGCTGTTAAGTCATAAAACTGGCCCCCAGGAAAGGGAGTGTTCAAACCTTTGCCTAGCAGGAATGTTTGATCCTCAACCCATGAGGGCAAGTCATGACAGCATCTAGGAGTGAAAGTGACACCTATATTAAACTAACGGCTATGAGCGTAAATTGTAGCGTCTGATTAGCATAATCATAACAGATCAGTAGCTACTGTGTTGCTTCAGACCAGGCTAAACAATAGTGACAGGAGTCATGTCTGTTAGTTAAGAATACTCCCTGATATCTGGGTGGCCATCGTTGCTGCAATGCAGAAGATCCCAGAAAAAGAGTCCAGAGTGGGAGTCTACTGTAGTGAATACAGACAGTTGACTCCTGGTGAGTGCACATCAGATAAGTGACTGTTTAACTGCAGTGCAGTTCCTCAGTCCCATTGCAAATACATTATTTTTACAAATACTTTCTGTTTTACTGGCTTCAGCCCCAAGCCATCACATGTATCATGCGTTGACTGTACACACATGCATGGCACAGTTTTGTTGCATGCCACCATTACTCTCTATTAGACCTGGGTTCAAATACTATTTGAAATAATTTATACTGTATCTGTACTTGCTTGAGCTTGCCTTTTGGAATGGAATCAAGCAAACACTCAAAGTATTTGAAAGATTTTGAATAGTGTTTGAACCCAGGTCTGTTCTCTATATAATATCGTTTTTTTGTTTACTGTTGTACGTCATCCTGTTCGTTCAACAGATGTTCCTACAGCGGAGGAGCCTACAACAGGAGCTTTGTGAGTTCTGTCACAAACATAGTTTTGGTGCGGTGGTCGCCATGACAATCTCTTTCAACGAACGCAGTGAGCCCCATCGGCAGCTGGCGGTCTACAGCTCCAGCACCCTCTATAGGGAGGAGGTATGAACTGCACTGTCATGCCCACTCTTACAGAATATTGACCCCTAGACCCCTATGCACATAAGATGTGAGTTGAGTTTATATTTATAGGGATAGTAAGGATTTGATAGGGGTAGTTATATAATAAGTAGTAGTTCCACCTAGCCCACTAATAGACTTAGCAGAATTGACCCATTTTGTGCTTTCCCAAATGTGCAGCACATTTGTGTTCATGACCCTGAAAAGTATTTTATATGAGTTCATTTTATTGTAAAGAGGCCATTTGAATATCGGTGTGAATCTTTCCTCCCCTCTGTTTAAAAATACAAAAATAATCGGTCTACTTTTGTGCCAAACTACCTATCTTGTTAGTTTAAAATTGGCCCTCAGAAACTATTCATTGGTGTGAAAAGAAATAGTATTGTTATGTATTATTCTGTGATATTAAGCATGTCTGTAAGTGAGATATATCAAAGTATTCAATGCTGCCTGTTGCTATTATTAGCGTGCTTTTCCTTTTGGGCAAATGCAGGCATGACAATTTGAGAATATTAGTCAATGTTAAAAAGGCAACAATGAAATAGCAATACACTGTGTGTTTCTCATTCTGCTATAGGTGAGCCAAGCATTAGAAAAGGCCCGCAACCCCTCTCTAAGCTTCTCTCCAATGAGCAGCCCCTTCAACGACATCAAGTCCTATCTCCAAGGCAATGCACTGGCCTCCCGCAAGAAAGTGCTGCCTATCCTCAAGGACTTCCTGAAGGAGTGGGACAAGAAGCAAGTGCATTGTGGGGAGGTGGAGGACTTTGAGGAGCTGGACGACCACGTTGACCCCACAGGGTCGCCAGGTGTCGACGACGACGCCCGCCCCCGCTGCTTCTCGGCCTCCCGGCACCACCGTCGCCGCCTGCTGGGCACCGAGAACTCTGGGACGGAGGAGGACTTCCAGGTGCCGGCCACCCCCATGAACAGCCTGGTGGAGGGCTGTCCACTGGACGCCGGCCTGCCACGGATCAGCGCGGAAGCCATTTTGGAGAAGTTCAGCCGCATGGGAGGGGAAGCAGGGGAAAATAAAGATGGCAACTGGCCAGGTGAACAATAACCTTCTGTTGATGCCTTTTAATTCTAGTGCCCCTGGCTGACTGCACCTCAACCCAACCAACAGACTATAACAAGGAGTGTTCCAAGTTCAAACTCCGAAGCATATCAATCAATTGTATGTTTCATAAGGGACATCTCATAGTGGATTATAATGACAATCCAAAGGGGCCATGTACAGTAACTCACTCACTGGTTATATAGCAATCGTAGGTTTGCTATCAGCAGCTCCGTTGATATTGACTGGAAACAGGGCCTGTTCAGGAGGAAGAAAACGGAAGAAAACGACCTGAAACAGGGAGGTACCATCTGAACTAAGAAATGCTTGTTTTTGTTTTCCGTTGCAAAACGTTTTGCTACGGTGTGCCCGAATGAACACGACCCTGGACTACTGTGGCCATCAAACTGATCATCAAGCAGCTCTTATGGATTCTTTACTCAAGTCAGGACTAACAACACCATAGAACATTATGAAGAATAGGATATGGCAACTGGATGAAAAAAAGCCATGACCAGTAGTACTGTATCAAAGACTCCAGACACAAATGAAGGTTGAATGAAGTGTGTGTTCCCTCTGTATCGCATCTGAGTACGTGGCACTGCCTCATTGGTTAGTCAGTGCCATCTCGAAGTGTAGGGGGAGTGGATTGGAAATGTGGAGAATACATAATGGACTAACGTAATTAATCTTTGAAGGGCCTATTTCAATGTCACAGGCATTTGAGTGAAGCTTTATGATGAGGGAGAATCTTGCACTGGATAATGACTTTATCCATTAGGGCAGCATGTGTTTCAGTAGTCCTGGTCCTGAAAGGCCACTGAGTTTGCTGGTTTTTAGTGCAACCAATCTATGTACAGCTTCATATGTGACTTATTGGGCTGATGATTGAACACATGATATCTCCTGACGTGTGTGCAGAGTTTTGTTGGTTAGCGTGACGTCATGATGACATTATCACCAGGGTTATTTCAGTCCCAGAGTTCTCCTCATTGTCGGAATCCATCTGAAAAGGGGGAAGAATTCACATCCTCCCCACACACAGAGAGAGAGAGAGAGAGAGAGAGAGAGAGAGAGAGAGAGAGAGAGAGAGAGAGAGAGAGAGAGAGAGAGAGAGAGAGAGAGAGAGAGAGAGAGAGAGAGAGAGAGAGAGAGAGAGAGAGAGAGAGAGAGAGAGAGAGAGAGAATGCAACTCTGCTGCTCATTCATGCATATGAACTGCCTGCCCCTGTTCAGAGATCTAAATATACTCAGCCAGCAATCACCTTTGCTCTCTCTCGCACTGACATTTAGATCACAAAACTACTTCAACTGTCCAAATATATACAACTCTTATGGGTAACTTATCATCTAGAATCACCATTGATTATGTTACCAGTGAGGAATTAGCCTGATCCGAGATCTGTTTGTGCTCTTGCCAACCACTATCATCAGAGCTGACTATACAGCACCAACAGATCTGGGACCGGGCTAGTGATTAATTGCTCTGATCTGGAATCTATGTCGTGTACCCCAGAGAGCCTCGTGGCGGTTCATTTGAGGAAACATTAGTGCAGATGTCTGCTTCATTAGCTGGCTGTAGTTGGGCCTGAGGAGTAGTTTTGAACTTACTGTACCACAGAGACGTGCAAACACACCCAGGCAAACCCACATACAGATGAATGCATAGACACAAACACATTGGCTGCTATGCATGGCAATGATGTTAAGGCTGGTGCCTTGTCATGTTTTAATCGTTGTGGATGTGGAGTCATTATATGTCTGTTTGGGTAGACCTCTGTTCACTACATACACTGCAGCTCTAATGTTATGTAGTTGGTGTGAAAATCTTCAAAATTCAGTTGGCCAAGTGAAACTGAGCACAAGACCCTATTCCATTTTAGTCTCTAGTCTCTTCCCTTGGATCCTACCCTTTCAGTGTTCCCAGATCACAAGATTTCGATACGTGAAAGTAATAAGATGATGGCTTCCTCTGATAGGGTATGTGAAGCTGTCACCGTATTACTCTCACCTATCCAGTCCTTTTGGATCTTGGAACATCAAATGCAGGGAGGGTAGTAGGGACAAAACTTTTTATTAATTTGTATAATTCCCAGATTTGATATCTTTGACAAGAGAAAACATCTTTAAATGTTGACTAGCACTGTGTTGAACTGTTTAATGAAGATAGTAAATGAAGATAGTATAGTTGAAGATAATACTTGATTATATAAATCAACCATGCAGTTTCATTGATTTCCTCCCTACATCACAGTGAGAAGGTATGTTCAGTCACCTAGTTTATAGTTATACAATAAATGGCGTCTAGGCTAGCATGGTATTGATAATGAGTTTGCTAATAAACATACTCTGAAAGATTTCTATATTGAGCCTCAGGTATTAAGGATTTGGCAATCCTTGGCTTGTAGATGTTCAGCAAGCTTAGATGTTTTAATATTTTGCCAGCTAAACATGCATGAGCACATTGTTTTTTGACAATGTCAACACCAATGTAGTGTATATTGTATCCCAAATCCATTGTTCCCAAGAGGGGTCACAAAAAAGCTGAGCAAATTATGTTTGTCAATCTTTTTTTATCTCCACGTACCTTTTGTGGAAATGTATTTACGATGCAATGGCTCAGTGACTGTGCAGTTTAATATGAACACTAAACACTAGTTTGCCTTTTCATTTGAATGCCTTGCCATGATTACATGTGTTTGTATGCACTCTGGTGTTTCTCCATGCGTTTAAGGTTTGAAATGTTAGCTTGCTGGACTTGTTTAGCTTCTAACCAGGTTGAACAAAGACAAGTAATTAACGTTTTTTTTTGTTTTTTTTTACCAGACTGGTTCCCTTTTTCAGTTTCTCATGGCTTAAATCCAAAGATGCCCCCCCCCTCAACCCCTCCACATACAGTTCCTTTCAGCATGGGTAGTTTTATGCTGTACAATCGGGATTTAACTTCCCTTGTATTCAAGTATACAATATGAAGTGTTTGCTGTGTGGTTCCTTTATTTAAGTGAGAAAAACTGAATGCGAAAACCATGTGTAAGAAAATATTGTAAGAGAACATGTAAAAAATATGCTGTTCTATTAAAAATTGATTTTAAGAGTTTGTGTTGTAGTCAGGTTTTATTCACGCTTCTTACTGATTCTGGATTATTGAGCTGATTCAAAATCATAACCTAAAGCTAATGTTTCTGCAAGGCACTATTGGAATCTTTAGTGTCCTATCACTAACTCGCACCCCTCCAGTCAGCTGTGTCAGATTTGTTATGGTGTGCTCTCACCATTTTCCCCACCATACGCTGTGTGTGTGCACGCCCGGCCATTCATGTCCCAACACGTTAGTGCTGTGAAAAAGTATTTGTCCCATTTCTAATTTTCTCAACTTTTGCATATTTCTGATACTGAATATTATCAGATCTTCAACCAAAACCTGACGGAACAAATAACGCAACATTTACATTATTTCATAAACCAAGTTATGTAATACCCAATGCCCCTGTGTGAAAAAGTAATTGCCCCCTTACACTCAATAACTGGTTGTGCCACCTTTAGCTACAATGACTCCAACCAAACGCTTCCTGTAGTTGTTGATCAGTCTCTCACATCTTTGTGGAGGAATTGTGGCCCACTCTTCCATACAGAACTGCTTTAACTCAGCGACATTTGTTGGTTTTCAAGCATGAACTGCTTGTTTCAAGTCCTGCCACAACATCTCAATTGGGATTAGATCTGGACTTTGACTAGGCCATTACAAAACTTCAAATGTTTGCTTTTTAGCCATTTTCATGTAGACTTGATTGTGTGTTTTGGATCACTGTCTTGCTGCGCTTCAGCTTCAGCTCACAGACGGATGGCCTGACATTCTCCTGTAGAATTCTCTGATACAGAGCATAATTCTAATTCATGGTTCCTTCTATTAAGGCAAGTCGTCCAGGTCCTGAGGAAGCAAAGCTTCCCCAAACCATCACACTACCACCACCATGCTTGACCGTTGGTATAAGGTTCTTACTGTGGAATACAGTGTTTGATTTTCGCCAGGCATAATGGGACCCATATCCAAAAATATACTTTTGACTCATCTGTCCATAGAACATTCTTCCAAAAGTCTTGATGATCTTCCAGGTGCTTTTTGGCAAACTTGAGTCAACTTTTTGGATGAGATGGGAATCAATGTGGAAAACGTTTTCCAACGTTTTACACCCAACTAAAATCCAATGTCATGGTGAATGTTTTGGTTAATTTCACGTTGAATTCAAGTTAGTTGACAACTCAAGGATGTTTTGTGCCCAAAACATCCTTGGGTATAAAATCTCTTATGTACATTTTTTATGGACCTTTCAAATCTACAGTAGGCCATACCTTTTAGTATCAGAATAGGGGTTATGATGTTTGTATGTGTTTTATAGTATAAATAAAATATAGACAAAGTTTCACCCATTATTTTTCTGCTCATGTTGTAATCATTTGTTTCAGTGCTGACATTGTTGTTTGATTCTCGATGTCACACAGCCCAATAGCCTACATTGCATGATTACTGAGCAAGCATGCACACGTTTTCACCCTAAAGCTGAGTTTGTGGAGTCAATCCATGTTGCCTTGGTTACAGGGACGGGGTCCACTGGCAATAAATACACCACACCTTGACTGACTCTCAGGTGTGGCAATTGTGTCAGCACAAATGACACTTCGTCATGAGTTCAGCAAAGTCATAACATTTACCTCTTTCACTGAAAAGTTACTGTACTTTTACAAAGACATTGAAAAGTTTGTCAGCCCGTGAACCAAATACCATCAACAAGGTAATGTTACACATTTGTTGCTTGATATTGTATTAATGCACATGCATTCCTGTCTCAAGTTTTGGTTACCACTTCATCGCATGAATCTAAGCAAGACAAACTTAAAAAAATAAAAAATAAACTTGGTGATATTGGGGCAATTTAAATGTGTTCTTACTTACAAAAGTCATTTTACATTTCCATTATAATACAAGCTTTGAAAAATAAAGTACAGAATGGTGAAAGACAGTGGGTGTTGATAGCCTTGCCTTATATCCCGCACTACATTTATTGCAATCCATAAAACTGAACAGTGTACGTCTCTACGTTTACCACTAGAGGCCAGCATAGGAACAAATCCTTCAGTATCCTATAATTTTACTTATTACTGTATGTCAATGACATTCATCATCATTTATTTTCACACTCTTTATTCTTCTCAAATGAAAATATGAAGTTACAGCTAAAGTTGCTACTGAGTTGTAATAGCTGTTTGGACTTCTCCGGGCCAAATGGTTTGCCGTTACTCTGACAACATCAACTGTGTTCACAACTACTATCAGGAAACGTGGCACTGAAAACCTGCACAGCAACAACATGGAGCAACGACAGGAGATGCAAGAAGAGGAGAAGGACATGTACATTCCCAGGTCAGAGGTTATGGTCAACAGACTGAATTGTCTTGGTTGGACTAAATTCAATACATTAGTTATATTATCAACATACTACATATCCAAACAACTGTTTTTTCACAATGAAACACCTCTGTCTAATTACAATTCCATAGAAATTTCATTGTTGACCTTTCTAAACATTGTAGGTCACCTCCCAGGAATGCTCATGGCACAAATGAAGTCTCGGGGGAACCCCACATTAGCTGATGATGACAGACCAGGTAACACTTCAATTCAAAATGGCAATGTTGTAGCATAACAGTCACTGTTATAAAGCTCCATATAAATACAAATCATAATGATTCAATGTCATGGTAGCCCCGCCCAGCAGCCTGGCTCTGATGGGGCCCCGACCCAGGAAGAAACGCCTGGTGGCCCCTGGCCTAAGACTGACGCTGGATCGCAGTGACTCGGCGGTGTCCGACGACTATACCACAGCTGCCCTCATATCCTCCCCCGATGACGACGACCTGGGACTGGACATCGACTTGGATGCCATAGAAACGCCCTCGGACAGCGAGTCCCTCCAATTTCCAGCGCACGACATGGATTTGGAGGGTGAGGACAGGATGCAGTGGACAGGACAGACTAAAAGCCTTTATCTTTGGTCAGTTTCTTCACTCTCACAGGTCCAAGATCAGCCCATTAACTTATTGAACCACTTTCACTTTGATTATATTTTTCACATTAGATAGACACAAATGTTGGGCAATACATAATATAGCTATTCTCTTTATATATGCTTTGTATTAGGTGATCTTGGCCCCATAAATATAATCTATTGTTAACAGTACACAACCACTCTCTGTCTATGCATTGTGTTATCTACAGTACGTTATGGGAAATTGACCATTGAAACATTATTCCCATTCACAGATTACCTGCTTTGTCTGGGAGTGGCATCACGTTGCCATAAGGCCCGTGGGTCAATACCAGAGCAGATGGGAGTGGGCTGTCTTGACCAAGACCAGGTGGACAGCCAGGACACTAGGTGGCGCCGGTTCTGCACGGGAGACCCTCCTCAGGAGAGTCTGGTCAACATGAGTGTACTGGAGCCTTACCTTATGGTCTTGTCCCATGGGGGTTAGTCCAGAATCCCAGCACTCACTTAACCTGTTGCACTTGCCTATCGGACATTATGCGAGAATGTGAGCTTTTCTCAGGCCAATGGAATTCGGCTAATGTGAGCGTTTGTTGTGAGATCAACTTGGATGCATCTTTATTTTTCCCTTATCCAAATGTTATTTTCCTTCCAGGTTACTATGGAGATGGGTCTAATGACCTCATTGTGTTCTCTTCTTGCTATCTCCCTGAAAACACCATGGAGAACTACCAGCATGTCATGGACAACCTATTCAGGTGTTAGTGCTAATTGAAGAGAAGCCACAGTCTTAGTAAAACATTATCTAAATTGGCCACTCTTCAGGTCAACATTCCTAACCACAGCACCACTAAACATTGCAGGTATGTTGTGGGAACGTTGGACCTAATGGTGGCGGAGAACTACGTAATTGTGTACCTGTGTGCCATGGCCCAGCGTAACAAGCTCCCCACCATTGGCTGGCTCAGAGAGTGTTACACCACCATTGACAAAAGGTTAGTTCTGTTTACTCAAATAGGCTTAGTTTGTGGTCCTATTTCAGAAAACTATATGCCACAGTGAGTAACAAAAGTCGTTCAACTTATCAGTCTCTCATGTCAGTCAAGTCTCCAAGTCTTGGGCCACAATCCAGGCCGAATACATTGCAGTCATCATCTGTGCAGTCAGAATGCTATATCATGATGTGGTTAGTGGATATGTTCAACAGCTATCCAGGCATTGTGAGATCTGGCAGAGAGTTGGCATGGAACGCAGCCAAAGTCAAGTCTCAAGTTATTTTATGCCAAGTATTTAAGTCTCAAGTAATCAAATCGTTGAAATCTGTCTCAGTCAGTGAAAAATATGTCTCAGAGTCGAAAATCTACCAAGCTGGCTATCTCTCAAGACTTCGAAGAAGAGCAGGATGTTTTCTGTGTCGACTGTACAGGTGAAAACTGGACGACAATAGTGCCTTTTGTCTATTTGGCCTACTGTACTGATCTTCAAAAACTCGTCATGTATGAAGTACTTTGCCCTGGTGACACGAGGGTCCTCCCCTTGTACTGGTGTTGTATATTCAAGTGTGCAATTTGGGATTTTCCCGCCAAAACCATCTCTGCTAGAAGGTCCTGTTTGTTCAGTAAGACCCAGACAGGAACGGTCCTTAGCCACCTGTTGTTCCAGATGATATTGAAGAGGTTTAGTGCCTCATGCAGTTGGTTGGTCTGGCTGTCCTCCTACATCAACATGTCATAGCTGCTGCTGTCCACCACAAAAATAACATCCCACACATCAGCAAAACATTGCATCCACTTTCTGCTTTTGTACCTCTGACCTCTAACATTAGATAAATGAAATTCGATACCATCCACCTCGAAAATGTCTGACATCCCTGAAGCCTTTTTACTGTTGTTTTGTATGGAATGCATTTTCTCCTCTGCAGTGAGTTTACATGTAAATATTGCATCTGATTTACTATCGTGCTTTGCCCAGATTCACCAGCTGGCAAGTTATTTGGTTATTATACTTGTCTTCTTGTGGCTGTTTATCAATCCTTTTGTTTGGTTCTCTCCGTGCATTCTGAATATGTTGGTCTTTACTGCACAGGCAACCCATATTAAATAAATAATACTAGATTCCTAGACTTGCCAAAATTTCAGAATTAGTTACATTTGTAGGCCTATTGCCAGTTACAATTAAAATACAGCCTGTGGATTAAGACCTTGACCGTATCAGTTAAGCCTACTTCTGATTATATGGCATGCCTAATTAGTTGATAAGTGTACATTTAATATATATATATATATATATAATAAGTCTACTTCAGTCTGTGAAATTAAGAAAATGGCAAAGTGTTACAACAGACCCCTTCCTCCCCTAAAATGTCACTCTGGGTCTGGCAAGGAAGTGTGACGACACGGAACGCATCCTCTGCTCCTCTCAGAAGGTTGATTCCTAGAACGTTTTCACTGTGAATCCGCAATGCAGTCATCAAGCATAATGTAAATGTAAAAGTTCAGCAATAAGCCTAAATGTAGGCAATGTGCTTTCAAATCGAGATTCCCACGATTTCTTACTGTGGAGACACACTGAATTTTAGCGCTATTCTCTAGAATCAATCGATTTTCACGAGTAGCCCAGAATTCTGACATTCAAAACAATGCAGTTCTGTCAAAGGCCAAGCGCAGCGGTGGCTATATGTTCCTCTTCCCTTGACCACAGCGAGAGTAAAGCAGATGGAAGAAAGATAATTCAAAATGAAACTTCTAAAACAAATATTTCCGCAATTCCACTATAATGGACGCATGCGATCATTACATGAAGTTCGTTCCTGATTCGAATGTCTTGCTGTAGCAGCATTGCCCAAATTGTGTATTTATATTATTTATTGCCCAACCTTGTAATTTCCCCTACTTGGCATCTGGTGAAATAGATGTAGGAGTCGGCTAGTGGTAACGTGTTGTTTGTGTAGAAGCAGAATTATTGTATCAAATGTGAATAGACCCAGGGTGTGGTCCTTTAAGTCCAACTTGCTCTGATATGATCTGGCTGTATGCAAATCAGAGCAAACACTCCACCCAAAACATGTTGATTTGTAGTATTCTATGGTCCATACAAATACATTATATAATTATTATATAATTGTATAACATCATATTTTATTTTACTCAGCTGGGCAATTTGTTGTATGAATGATAGTGTCCCTCCTCAAAGTCAAGTCAGTCAAGTAGTTGATTAGTCTGGCTAACGCCTAACACTCGATGTCCTCCTGAGTCTGGAATGTCTCTTTGATGTTGTCGGCACAATGTGTAAATGAAGGGGGCTGTGCTTTTACTGGTTGGCTCTACTCTGTGTCTTTCTCACTCAAACACCCACAGGCACAGCCACATACAGCCCCCGAGCACTGCCTCTTTCATTACAATGTTTTGATTTTCAAATCCAAACAACAAGAGGTCTCAACCCCGAGGAAAAAATAAACATTTGAGAGATCCAATCAAATCCGTTGTACCATTTCTGAGCGAATATTGTATTAACAAACTGCCTTCTTTGCAGACCAGTGTGGTCAAAGCTCTCCCTGTGCTGTGAGTCACTTGGGTATTGTCATCCAGGTTAGTAGCTTGATCCACCATCATGACTGCTACACTCTCGTTTAGTGAAACAGAATAGCAGCTACCATGTCGATTCTCAAGTCATCAAATTTGTGACTGGTCCTGATCTAACTCAAGTCTGCACCTCATTAGGTAATTTCTATGTAATTACTATTTAACCATATTATCACAAAGTAATATCAGTAGGCTACTTTTATACCACTACCAATACTTTTAATTTAAAAAATGACTTAAAACAGTAGACAGTAAAATAAAGCATAAACCTGTAGTTAAACCCTCAGTAAATATTCCCAAGTAATGCCATGTACTGTATACTTAAACAAATTGTGTATGAGAGTTTGAATGTGCAGTGTAGTAACCATATGTACAGTATAGGAAGCAACCCACAGCAAGTAGCTGGCCATAAGAGTGTCACATTGGGCCTTAGCATCCAACAAGTTCACAAGAGCCTGCTTTGTCACTCCTCGTTCTTCAGCCAGAGGATGGCATCAAAACCAAAGTGTAGTTATGAGTTTCCTCCTTACTTCCCTCACAGCCAACCTACAGTTCTCAGGCTAGGAGGAAGTAGATTCCAGGGACGTGTTCATTAGGCACCAAATGGAAGAAAATGGACTGAAACAGGTACGGACTACATCGACTTGTCCAAATAAAACACTCACATATTAGTTTACCATTGCAAAACGTTTTAAAACGTTTTACATTGCGTGCCCTAATGAACATGACATTGTCATGAAAGAGTGTTATTTTTTTCAGGATGGTTACAACAGTGTCCAAAGGCTTGTCTACAGTATGGCCACTAACATAATCCCTCATATTTCCAGAAAGCTTTGATGTTATAAACCTCGACCTGGGTCTCCTTAATCCTAATAATGTGACCCAGTAAAAGTATCAAGTGAACTGCAGGAGGGAAAAAGCTGCTAAGAGCATCACACTAACCTAGTATGTTGTTGAAATGAAGGTCTCAACTTGACTATTCATGTCCCTTTATATTATCCGAATATACTTCGTCACATATCAAATATGTGTAAAGATTTCTAGAGGTTGCCTATAGTTCAGACACTCATATATTTGTGATATGGTTTTGGTCCCTTTCTTTGAACATTTACATTTTACATTTTAGTAATTTAACAGATGCTCTTATCAAGAGCAACTTACAGTTAGTGCATTCATCTTAAGATAGCTAGGTGGAACAAGCACATATCACAGTCATAGTAAGTACATTTTTTCTCAATAAAGTAGCTATCAGAAAAGTCAGAGCTAGTAAAGGGGGGGGGGGTGATTATTTAAAATACTCTTTGAGGAGGTAGGGTTTCAGAAGTTTTCGAAAGATGGGCAGGGACTCTGCTGTCCTAGCTTCAGGGGGAAAGCTGGTTCCACCATTGGGGTGCCAGAACAGAGAGGAACTTGGACAGGGCTGAGTGGGAGTCCCAAGAGACCAGAGGTGGCGGGGTACTCAGGTTGGGGTGTACGGTTTGAGCATAGCCTGAAGGTAGGGAAGGCCAGTTCCTCTTGCTGCTCCGTAGGCAAGTATCATTGCCTTGTAATGGATGCGAGCTTCGACTGGAAGCCAGTGGAGTGTGTGGAGGAGCGGGGTGACATGGGAGAATTTGGGAAGGTTGAAGGTCCTGGACTGGCGTGGTTACACGTGGTCTGCAGTTGTGAGGCCGGTTGGACATACTGCCAAATTCTCTAAAACGACATTGGAGGCAGTTTATGGTAAAGAAATGAACATTCAATTATCTGGCAACAGCTCTGGTGACATTCCTGCAGTCAGCATGCCAATTTCACGCTCCCTCTGTGGCATTGTGTTGTGTGACAAAACTTCACATTTTAAAGTGGACTTTTATTGTCCCCAGCACAAGGTGCACCTGTGAAATTATCATGCTGTCTAATCAGCTTCTTGATATGCCACACCTGTCAGGTGGATGGATTATCTTGGCAAATGAGAAATGCTCACTAACAGGGATGTAAACAAATTTGTGCACAACATTTTAGAGAAATAAGCTTTTTGTGCATATGGAACATTTCTGGGATTTTGTATTTCAGCTCATGAAACATGGGACCAACACTTTACCTGTTACGTTTATATTTTTGTTCAGTATAGTTGACAAAGCTACAACAGAGCAAAATGAGAATCTGAAAATGACCTAGTAAGATAATCAAGTGAGAGAGTGGTGTGGAGCCGTCCTCTCTTTTTTTACATTTACATTTTAGTCATTTAGCAGACACTCTTATCCAGAGCGACTTACAGTTAGTGCATACATTATTTTATCGAACCCACAACCCTGGCGTTGCAAACGCCATGCTCTACCAACTGAGCTACATCCCCTGCTGGCCATTCCCTCCCCTACCCTGGACGACGCTGGGCCAATTGTGCGCGCCGCCCCTTGGGTCTCCCGGTCGCGGCCGGCTACGACAGAGCCTGGATTCAAACCAGGATCTCTAGTGGCACAGCTAGCACTGCGATGCAGTGCCTTAGACCACTGCGCCACTCAGGGCCTTTTTCCTCGAATAACGCCACAGAGGAACTCGGCAGAACCGTCTTTGTTTCGGCGACGGTACCTCTGCTGACATGACCGCCACTTACTGCTGCCGCTGATAAAACAGGGGGCACTGAAGTACTAACATCATAATGTTTTACATAGCATGCCATGTTCACTGTGTTTAAGAGCTGGTTTCCCAGACAATAAGTGTTTGTGGATGAAAAAGCACGTTCAATAGTTCTACATTGAGCATTGAGCACTCACTTCCTGTTGTCTGGCTTGGCCCCTGTAAGTGAGAGAGGTAGACCCCTTTCTCGGCAGTTTGTGCCTGTCTGAGGAGTCACACAGACTGGGCATCAAAGAACCTCTGGGGAAGATACGGCGGCAGGTAGCTTAGTGGTTAAGAGCGTTGTGCCAGTAACCGAAAGGTCGCTGGTTCTAATCCCTGAGCCGACTAGGTGAGAAATCTGCCAATGTGCCCTTGAGCAAGGCACTTAACCCTAATTGCGCTGGATAAGAGCGTCTGCTAAATGACAGATCTTTTTTTTTTTACAAAAAGATTCTGGTCTTATGGAGGGGTTTAAACTGTCAATCATGGTGATGTGAGAGAGGTAGTGGAAAGGTATACATTGTCCACCCAACTTGGTACATCAAGGCCCTGATCACCATCATCAAGCCCTTCATCAGGTGGAGGACCACCATCCCCTGAGACACCAAGTCCAGACTGTCAGGGTTGCTGTTGTTTTTGTAGTTGTTGAATCAATGGGCCCTGTTACTTCATGAAGCAAAAGGGACAACTATAGAACAATGGCCACTGTTAGAGCAGCCACCCTGATCTAGCAGCTGTAAGAGTACAAATCTTAATTGTGTATTTATTTGATCTAAATCATGCTGTCCACTACTGGATCTTTATTTTTGACATGTTGGCTCTGTGTCGTCACGTGAAACTAATGGCTTCTGATCCCGTCATCCTCACAGCTCCAAATTCAGTCGCAAGTTTCAGTTTATCGACAGATTTCGGGAGCTGTCCCAGCACATCCCTATTGAGCGTGTGCAGATCCCTGACTGCGTCAGACAGTGAGTGACCTCATCAGACACTCTCACACATTCACAAAGAGCTACGTAAATGAACCCATAAATGGGAAAGCCCAACACCTCATATATGTAATAGACCTTCTATTATGACGGTTCATGAAAACGTATGGGCTTTGTGCATGTATTTATTGTTTTTCAATCTATTTCCATTCACACAGGTGACACGCTCATAATGGTGATCTGGAACACAGTGTAAGGTAGGTACATGAAGCCAAAACAGTGGACTAAAAAGGCTCAAATCTGGCAACCCATGACTTGATACTGAGGATGAACCTGGCTGCCCAATCTAACATTTTTAAAGTACATTTTTACAATTTTACATAACATACGTTGTCCTATGAGATAACTTTAGTCATACATCACTTGCCAAAGTATCTACTGAAGGACCACAAGTAGATGCACTGAGTGTACAAAAACTTTATGAACACCTGCTCTTTCCATGACATACTGTAGACTGACCAGGTGCATCCAGGTGAAAGCTATGATCCCTTATTGATGTCACTTGTTAAATCCACTTCAATCAGTGTAGATGAAGGGGAGGAGACAGGTTAAAGAAGGGTTTGGGCAATACAAAAGATTTAAGTGCCTTTGAACGGGTTAGTAGGTGCCAGACGCACTAGTTTGTGTCAAGAACTGCAACGCTGCTGGGTTTTTCATGCTCAACAGTGTCCTGTGTGTATCAAGAATGACATAACTGTGGGAAGCAGTGGGGTCAACATGGGCCAGCATCCCTGTGGAACGGTTGACACCTTGTAGAGTCCATGCCCTGACGAATTGAGGCTGTTCTGAGGGCAAAGGTTGGGGTGCAACTCAACATTAGGAAGGTGTTCTTAATGTTTTGTACACTCAATGTATATCAGTTATAAGTACAATGTAACAATGTGTACATACACTAATTATTACATTATCTACCATGTAAATACATTGGTTTTAGGACACTGTAAAGTGGGGCCTTCTTTCTGTCACAAAATTAATTTTATAGATTGACATCACTCCTTGTGGTCCCCTTTCTTACTGTCATAAGTAAGGAGTGACCCTTCTTAAACACAGTTCTGAATCACAGATTCACTCCAACTATTGCGTAATATTGGCAGGATTTTATACTGTAGGTTTTTTAACTACACTGGCGTCAGATACAGTATGGCTCTCATTTCTGTTACCGGGCAGATTGACATAGACTTTTTGTCAAAGCTCTGGTTCAGCTACAATGTAAAACCTATGACTTCACTGGCTTTAATTCCTCTGGCGACTTTTATCTTTCATCTCACTTTACACCAGTGAATAGTTTTTGATCAGATCAATTGTGATCCACTCATATGACGTTATTGGATTATTTTTGTGTTTGTATTTTTTTTACTCCATATCCAGATGACCGTTTACTGTCTTTAAACAAGGAAGTTCATTATTGTTATACAGTATCTGTAATCTTTTTTTTTTTTTTTTTATGCTCTAAGTCAACGTTGATAAGGGTGTGTGTTTAAATTATGTCTTTATTGATTCCTTCATCTTCAATAAGAAGAAATTAACTGAGAAAGTGTGTATAAGACAAATCGTCTACAAAGCTGGTGTATCAGGGATGGATAGATAAGCAAGCTGTCTTATATGAATCATCATTGACAATTAGTTGACTGACTTTATGACAAAAGCATCGGCTGGGATGAATGTTTCTTTCTTTTCAAATGTGATTTTCATTTCATCCTTTTTTATTTTCATTTTTGTCTTAATAGCATAACCTTCGCAAATGTTTGTCTACCAAGAGAAAACAATATGCTTTAAAATACCTCATCAAATCTATTGGAAGTACAACTTTTTAAATTACATTTATTTTTATTTAACTAGGCAAGTCAGTTAAGAACAAATACTTATTTACAATGACGGCCTACCCCGGCCAAACCCTCCCCTAACCCGGACAATGCCCTATGGGACTACAGCACTTACGTAGATTATACTTTCTTAACACTTTAAATACCAAGTTTACCAAATTGGATTTGGCCAATGTCTGCTGTATTTTCCTATAAATAGGAAACTAGTCCATGTGATAGACACATTTATTAATAAACCCCATTGTCTCGTGTTCAACATCATTCTCTCAAACCAGCACTCAGTAGAACCCCTTATACACGGTGACTTGTTTTCCAGTACAGGAGGGAATGTGTTGTTTTTAGGAGCTCTGTTAGGTACAGAGGGAGGGGGTTTGGCCTCTACCCGCTTCCTCCCCTTCCACACAGAACGTAATAAAGGAACAGAGGGAGGGAGGGAGGGAGAAAGATGGATGGAAAGGGGGATTTGGCCCACAGAGCAGAAGGTGAGACTGGCTGTGCGAATCCACCAGACGCACAGGAAATGGAGCCTGACAGCGAAAGGAAGTGAGGTAGCTGTGGAGAAACTCAATAAACAGGAACAGAGAACAGTGTATCAAGTGTAGGATTGGGACCAGGCTGATGTTTACAGAGTTTCAAGTACGAAAAGTAACAGAGAATCGCTGTTTGTTAGGGAAATCAGGCTCTAGGAAAAACAAGTCCAAAGTTTGATTAATTCAGTCTTTAAAATAAGTGTTTTGAATCTAGAGAGAATTTACTGATGGTGTCAGTTTCTTTACTTTGCATGCATCAATATTTGTTTTCAAACCCTTGATTAGAAAAATATGGAATACTGTTCTTGGTTGTATACAGAGTAGATGGTTCATTTTTCAATGACCATATGTGGTATTATATCACAAACACACATTTGCAATCACACACACTTCTATTTGATAAACGTCTGTGCATGAGTCAAACGAATGTACGTACATTTTGGATCTAAATCACTTCTATGCTCGCTTCGAGGCAAGCAACACTGAAGCATGCATGAGAGCATCAGCTGTTCCGGACGATTGTGTGATCACGCTCTCCGTAGCCGATGTGAGTAAGACCTTTAAACAGGTCAACATTCACAAGGCCACAGGGCCAGACAGATTACCAGGATGTGTACTCCGAGCATGCGCTGACCAACTGGCAAGTGTCTTCACTGACATTTTCAACCTGTTCCTGACTGAGTCTGTAATAACAACATGTTTCAAGCAGACCACCATTGTCCCTGTGCCCAAGAACACTAAGGTAACCTGCCTAAATGACTACAGACCAGTAGTACTCACGTCTATAGCCATGAAGCACTTTGAACGGCTGGTCATGGCTCACATCAACACCATTATCCCAGAAACCCTAGACCCACTCCAATCTGCATCCACAGATGATGCAATCTCTATTGCACTCCACACTACCCTTTCCCACCTGGACAAAAGGAACACCTACATGAGAATGCTATTCATTGACTACAGCTCAGCGTTCAACACCATAGTGCCCTCAAAGCTCATCACTAAGCTAAGGACCCTGGGACTAAACACCTCCCTCTGCAACTGGATCCTGGACTTCCTGATGGGTCGCCCCCAGGTGGTAAGGGTAGGTAACAACACATCTGCCACGCTGATCCTCAACACGGGGGCCCCTCAGGGGTGCGTGCTCAGTCCCCTCCTGTACTCCCTGTTCACCCATGACTGCATGGCCAGGCACGACTCCAACACCATCATTACGTTTGCCGACGACACAACAGTGGTAGGCCTGATCACTGACAACGATGAGACAGCCTATAGGGAGGAGGTCAGAGACCTGGCTGTGTGGTGCCAGGATAACAACCTCTCCCTCAACGTGATCAAAACAAAGGAGATGATTGTGGACTACAGGAAAAGAAGGACTGAGCACGCCCCCATTCTCATTGACGGGGCTGTAGTGGAGCAGGTTGAGAGCTTCAAGTTCCTTGGTGTCCACATTACCAACAAACTATCATGGTCCAAACACATCAAGACAGTTGTGAAGAGGGCACGACAAAGCCTATTCCCCCTCAGGAGACTGAAAAGATTTGGCATGGGTCCTCAGATCCTCAAAAGGTTCTACAGCTGCACCATCGAGAGCATCCTGACTGGTTGCATCACTGCCTGGTATGGCAACTGCTCGGCCGCCGACCACAAGGCACTACGAGGGTAGTGCGTACGGCCCAGTACATCACTGGGGCCAAGCTTCCTGCCATCCAGGAACTCTATACCAGGCGGTGTTAGAGGAAGGCCCTAAAAATTGTCAAAGACTCCAGCCACCCTAGTCATAGACTGTTCTCTCTGCTACCGCATGGCAAGCGGTACCGGAGTGCCAAGTCTAGGTCCAAAAGGCTTCTTAACAGCTTCTACCCCCAAGCCATAAGACTCCTGAATAGCTGAGCATGGCTACCCGGACTATTTGCATTGTCTCCCCCCCACCCCCTCTTTTACGCTGCTGTTACTCTCTGTTTATTATCTATGCATAGTCACTTTAACTATACCTACATGCTGCTTTTATTTTTACTTATCTATTGTTTACTTAACACTTATTTTTCTTAAAACTGCATTGTTGGTTAAGGGCTTGTAAGTAAGCATTTCACTGTAAGGTCTACACCGGTTGTATTCGGCACATGTGACAAATAAAATTTGATTTGATTTGAGTAAGTGCCGCAGTGGCTCAGTAGTCTGATGACTACCATCAGTCATTGTGTCTGCAGGTTGTGTAAGATTCATTACAGAAGTCATTATTTGGAGGCCCGATATAAACAGCCCATGTTATATAATAACCAACAGCCCCAACTTCTCATGCTAAAAAGCATTGAAAAGGCACTGTTATCTTGTTCCAGGCCGGTCCTATCTGCCGGTGGCCCTTAGTGTAATCAAGAAGCACAATGGGCCATAGATTTCCTTCATTCAGGCGAAGGGCTTTCGCTGGGCTCTGCCAAGGACAGGCCCCGAGTGTGATACTCTGGCTCCATGGACTTTGATTATTTGAGCCAGGGTTGTTCATTTTCATTGTTTGGGTGTATTTCTATGTTGGGTATTTCTAGTTGTTCATTTCTATGTTTGGTGATTGGTCTTGATTAGTCATATGACTCCCAATCGGAGGTAACGAGTGTCAGCTGTCGGCTCGTTATCTC